AAAATATTTCGAATTAATTCAACCGATCCTGCGTCTTATTTATTGGAAGCTTCTAAACAGTTTCAAAAAAGGAGTCACAAAGCTGATAGTTACATGGATTTAGTCAAAGATAAATTAGATCCTGCAATAAAAGCTTGCATCGATGGAGCTGGCCATGAATTTGATTTTGAAACACAAAAGCTTTTAATGAGGGTAAAATCTTTAACTGTTATTTGTTATTGTTCTTCTTCTTGTTCTCCTTCTTTCTATTCTTACTTCTACGATATAAATATGTACATATTTATGAATGTATATTCCTTGTATCAATACTTCTAGGCTGCTAAATTTGGGAAAGGATTTAGTAAAACAATTAATCCTGAGTATTACGTCAACATGTGTCGAACTTTAAGAGTTTTAAATGCAGTAAGGCACCCCGCAATTGGAATTCCACTAACATATACACAGTATCCTTTCATTTAATATCTTTCTTTTAATTTTATCGCCTTCAATGATGTAATACAATGCCTTAATGATGACAGATTCACTATTCTCACGAGTCAAGTGTTATTGGATAGACTCGTTGCAAGAAGACATTACTATCTAAGTATACAAATTGCACGGCATCTTCAGTTACCAGAGATCGATGGAGAAAGTCGAATATTAGCTCATTGGGCTTGCTATAAAGTAATATTTGTTGTTTAGTTTCACTTGCTCGATCGTCTACGATATCTATACGAATAAATTTTCTTGTAATAGGTAAAACAAACGCAATTAGATAAGGAACAAATAGCAGAAGAAATAGCTGATAAATTAGGCTACGCGCCTGGTGTTTCTTATAGCGAAATTGCAAGAAGAGCAGCCGACTGCGGCCGAAAACAACTAGCAATTAAAGTAGATCGTTATTATTAAACAACTAATTGTTAAGCAGTTCTTTGTTTCGTCTAATATATTATCATATGTTACACTCTTATATATTGTTTCTAGCTGATTGATTACGAACCACGTGCACATCAACAAGTGCCACTTTTATTAACGCTTGGTGAAGAAAGAGCCGCTTTACGTAAAGCCGTTGAAAGTGGAAATACAGATTTGGTTTATACCGTAATACTTCATCTCAGGGAGAACATGCCACTCGGTGATTTTCAGGTAACATTTTATTATCAATCGATCCAGTAGAGATAGAAATTCGATTCTTAATATATTTCTCATTGGGCTCATTCCCTACAGATGTCCATAATGCACTGTCCTTTAGCTATGGCTTTATACATCAAATACTGTCAAAATCATAATCGAGAAACACTTCGCGATATTTATAATCAGTATGATGATTTTCATTCTCAAGCGATATGGTTCATTACCGAGAGTTATCAGCGAAAGGTTTACAAAAATCAATATAATTATAATATTATATACTCGATCGTCTAGAAGCATCCACATATTTCATTACTTCACATCAGAATTTATGATACATTTTAGAATACGATGTCAAGAGAAGCATTATTACAATCTGCACAGGAGAATTTCAAGTTAGCTCGTAACGATACTAATGCAGCTTTGACAGAAGAACAAATAAAATTATTGCGCTATCAAAGGTCCATGGAAGATGTATTAAAGAAACCGATTGTAGGGAAACCACTTCAGGATACTGTAAAAGTATTACTATTGCGCAATGAATACAAATTAGCTGATAAATTAAGATCAGAGTATAAAATATCGGATCGAAGGTACAGTCTATATTTTTTAAAGATATTTTCTTTTATATTACTATCGATGTATGAAGAGTAAAAAATTTCTTTATCTTCTTTAGATATTGGTGGTTACGAATACAATGTTTGGCCGAGCAGGGCGTATGGAACGAATTGGAAAAATTCTCCAAAAGTAAAAAATCCCCTATTGGTTATGAGGTAACCAATATGTCAAAGTATTAAATAGAATTTACTTATTCATATCGATATATAATTTTTATTTAAAAATACTTTGTTACTAAATATATATTTTCCCACTTATTCTAGCCTTTTATAGACCAATGTTTAAAATATAATGAAGAAAGGGAAGCGAAAAAATATTTACCTAAAGTAAGGGACGAATTAAAAGTAAAATACTTAGTTAAATTAAAGTAGGTAAACTCACGTAAATTATTTATTTCACGATCTCGAACAATATAATGAAATAATATATTCTTATAGAATGATGAACGAGGCCGTTCAAACGGCGATAGAACAAAAAGATGTTAATGCGTTAACTTACTTACTAGGTCAGTGCGAAACTACAGATAGGCAATTAATTGATAAAATTAATATGTATATAACAAGTCTTAAAAATTGATATCCTATTACATTTAATTTAGTCCTGAATCGTACAGTAAGTACTGTTATCTATATTCTATAAAAAAGTAACTATCCAAATAGATTTACGTCAATCCATAAATGTATGGTTTTAGACGATTCGAAATTAAGCCCTCTGTAGAACATGTTGTAACGATAGTCATTTGAAATTGTTTTCGTTCACATTAGTGATTCACGCTGAACGAATACATATGTACATTGTTTAGCCTCAAAAAATTAAATAACTATGTGTATGGATGAGTGCATGCGTCACGTAAGACTATATTTATTTTAACATGTAAATAATATTATACAAAAAATAAAAGTTAATACTTTTTATTCATTTTTTAAAATTTCACTAAAATAACAACACTTACCAATTTAATAATGAACTGTTAATCATTAGTTATCAATAATAAAAGAAAATAGAATTGAGTAATATTTATTCAATATTGTTTACATTAAAATGCGTTTTATTAATTGAATATATATAGACAAGATATACATTAATTACATTGTTTGGTAGATTGTATAAAAGTTCTGTGTTTATCAATGAGAATACTGACAATCGATTGTTCGATTTCTTCACCTTTATTTAATTGCTCGTTAGTAAGAGAAATAACATCATTATTCTCTTGACTGACAATCGTAACTTCTTGTTTTCGAGTATGCAACATGTTTCCTATAACCAACTAGAAAAAAAATTGCAATATGTGTAAAAAAATAAATTTATTCACTTTTTACTATACTACTTATTTCATTGTTATTACTCACGTTGTGTTTGTACTTATTTAGTGCATTTCTTGCTTTTGAAATTAGAAGACTTTCATCAGTTTCTAATTTAAAAGATATTACAAAAGCCTCTGGAACCCACAAACTTACGAGAGGAGCTAATATTTTTGGCACTAACTGTAGAGATATTGTTGGCGGTCCACTAGAAGGAATTTTGTGAAAGGACTGGAAATTTAAAAATCATTTATATACATGTGTATGCGTGCATGAATATAGAAAATTAATAGAAAATTTTAAACTTGTGTACCAATTCATTAGATGGGATATAGAAATCTGAAACTGCAGCTGCAAGATACAAAATTGCTTTATTTTTAAGACAAGCTAATGCTTGACAGGCAGATCGAAGAAGCCAAAGATATTCAGAAAGCGTAGTGAAAGTGAGTTGCAATAATTTATCTTGATTCAAAGTTTCTTTATATTTGTGTAATACTTTTATCACGTTTTCTCTATATTGTGGTAAGACTGAAAACAACCATATTATGAGCATTTATATGCATTGTTATACAATTTTTTTTGACAATCTACAGGAAATATATATACCTGTGATCGTGCTTTCCCCACTTTGTTCATTGATCTCCAACATATCCAAAAATTTCTGACCCTTAAAATGTCTTGAAAAAGGTTCCAGAGAATTAACCCTGCAAATAGGTAAATTACATATAAATAAGTAATAAAGTATATAAGTGTATAATATGTTTTTAAGTATGTATTGGTATAAAATACCTATGCATAAAAATTACAGCATATCCATTTTCTAGGAAATATTCTGTAGATGCAGACCCCCTTGTCCCTGCGCTAAAATTGTCAACGAATCTTACCGTATTGTGTTCTAAAGGTATCGTTGTACCCCCGCTCTATAAAATTGATGCGTACTAATTTCAAATAACAATATCTATACAATATATAATGGTGGAAAAGCAAATACTCACTGTTACTAACACGACTTTATTATTTCTCTTCAATTGTCGTTCTACAAATGCTTTTAATAATATTTCATTCTGATTAAAGTCTTGAGGTGGTGGGTGTTTAGCATAAAAATCCTCCCAAGTTGTATCCATATTTTTATGTATAAACTTTTTACACAACTGTTAAATATTTTCTATTATCTAAATCAAATGAATAAATTTCAAACTATATCTTTAAAAAATTTTAAAATTTACATATAAATCATAAAATAAATGATAAATATAGAATATGTTAATAAAAGAAATATTTATTATTATTGGAAACAATTATATTTTAATTAAGTATTATAGAATGCATTTATGAAACGCATTAAGCCTTACCTATACTAATTGGTACAAGCGTATCACATTCTTCTTAGAACATAAGTAGTATTATGTGGAAACATTTTTTGCGCGCTCTTAAATAAGCCATGTCATTATCACGTGAAACACATGTATTCGCAAATTCAAATTTATTTCAGATACGAGAAATTTGTTCCCCAAATTCGGCAACTTCGCAGCTTAAATAATACTTTATGTGTATATATATACATATACATGTGTGTGTATGTGTGTGTATATACATATATATGAATTCAAAGAATATAATTATTCAAGCGGTTCGACGAATTTAGTTATTATTATTAACGAAGAAAAGAATGATAGCTAGCTCGGTATCGACGTAGCGCTCTCTTGCGATACGTTCAGTAATTTAACACAAACATGTATATAATCGATAAAAATGTTCTGTTACATTATCACAAGATATTTCAAACATATCTGTCATGACTATTCGCATGGCCGTACTATTCCTAACCATTGATTAAGTACCGTAACCTTATTCAGATTATTATTTGCATAATTTAATATATACTAAAAAATGTTATACTTTATAGTTATTTAAAATATATACTTCTTAACAAATGCAACGATTATTAAGATTGTCATAGGAAATAATATATGTATATATAAATGTTTATTTCGTATTTAAATATTATTTACCACTTAAATTTTATGTATACAATGTATTTATAATTTGACAGTGTTGTTAATTATCACTTACACTATAATAATAATAACTATCATAACTGAGAATCATCTACATACATATGTATATTACAAGTTAATTCAATTTCATTTAACTTTCTCTAACTAGCACTAATTTAGCAAAGAACATGCTTTTTAGTACTCTGGAGGTGAAGCATAGTGCTTAGACTTATCTTGAATCGATATGAACTGAAAATAAAAATTAAGAAATTTAGTAATTACGCAAATTTTGGATTGTAATTAATCGCTTAAAATAACTATCAGGCAATATTTTATATGGTTGACTTGACACAATGGGATTTAAATATCATCTATTTTATTAGTTACATGTCATTTTTATTATTTTCATTATTATTGATATAACATACCTTATATTCTTTGTTTTTATATTCGTTCCATGGCTCAGGATTTTTTCTAGAATTCCAAGTAACATCGGGGCTCCGCAAAGCCAGACGTAATAAATAACCCGATGAGAACAATGCTCCGAATCCGATACAAAAGAACAGCGGAGCTAACTAAAGAGAAATAAATAATTATATTTCCTTGCCATATGATTCTTCGGCCATGATCTTTTACGTACCATCGAATTCTTTTTAAAGGTTTGCCACGAAAGACCTTGCATTTTAGCCATCTTGCTGTAGTACTAAAATAGAGGCCAGGCACCACGCTAAAATAAACCGTACATAAAAATCGAACTTTTAACTCTTACTCGTTAACATACTACGTACTTACTGGAGTATGATACAGATCAGTACAGAGAGTGCAATTTGCAGATTTCGAATTCTGAATGAAATTTTTATGAAAACGAACCTATAGCATTTTAAGCATCGATAATAAAGTCAATATAGATTAACGCTGCAATACTTTTTAATGCATTACATATTACAATTAATAATTTTCAAAGAATTGTCAAATTATTAATCACATTGTATACTATAGTAATACTATAGTTTATTTTGCATAGGATTTTAGATTTTTCTTGAATACACAAAAATTAAAATGAAATTCTCTTATATTATTCGCGAGTTCATAGTATACATGTGTATATATATGTGTAAAAAACATAAGCTATTGGTCGAAGCTTTAACGCATTCATGATATATTATACTACTGGTTCGTTTCATTTTCATCGAACTTGAATTGGTCGTCTATTTTATTTGTGGTTTCATGGCGGTATTTCAGAAATAAAAGTAAATTTTTGCAGTTTGAGGTCTGTGGACTGTATAAATATAAGTGTTGATCTCAGCCAACTGAGCCGCAGAGATATATGGAACTTTAATTAAATAATGTGCATATGAACTTTTGTTTGCGATGTGGTATTTCGATAAATGATTCATTCAAGTTTATTAGATTGTCTGCTACCATTAATGTCATTGCATTCGTCTAGCGTAAGAATGAATTTTTGTTCGTGACACGTCTAAAGAAGTCGGTAAGACGGCGATTTTTAGTTGTACACGATAAGCGGGATGGGTTTCTCTACGAGTTTACAAGGACAGTCATCACACGAGGCATTACTTGCCCGTCAAGATGCTGAAATTAAGCTTCTGGAAACGATGAGACGGTGTTTAACGATTAAAGTTAAATCAGACCGTGAATATGCTTCGACAATCTCCTCCCTGACTATGCAAGGGAAGAAGATTGAACGTAACGAGGATCTCGTTGGTAGTCTAATAGCGCAGGTACTCCCTCGAAATTCAAACTAAATTTACAGTTGAAGTCCATAATTTTTTTTTAAAGAATTTACAGTGGCTCCTTAGAAACATTTGCTTATTTGGTAATGTATTGTAGAGCTGGAGAGATATTATGGACTCTATCGATCAGACTGCAAAATTAATCAAGCAGCAGGCAGATTCCATCGAAGCTATAGTAGTTGAACACATTATGACATTATATTCTGAAAGAAGACGAGCTAGGAAAGTGTATCAGGAGGAGCAAACGTGGTTGAACAATCAATTTCAACAGGTAGAGAGCAAGCAACAAGAAAGTTCTATACTAAAAACAAATACCTATCATTTTATTTATTGTATGTTTATTGCATAATCTAGTTGACTGAAGATGTCGCCAGGAAAAAGCTGGAATATCAGAAGAATTTAGAAATGTACAAATTGATGAGATCCCGTTTTGAAGAACATTATGTCAAGTGTAAGTATTTATACTGCTTATTAATCTAAATTTGTTTATTGTCGCTCATGATATCTGTTCAGCCGGTAGAGTTGGCAGAAAATTGGATGAAGTAAGAGAAAAATATCAGAAAGCCTGTAGGAAACTTCATCTTACCCACAATGAATACGTATTGCTTTTGGGTGCTGTAACAGAGTGTGAACATGACCTCAGAACTTGTTACTTACCCAGTTTGCTTCACCGACAACAAGCGATTCATCAAGAATTTATAACATCATGGTAAGAGCATCTTCTTGATTCTAGATTCTAAAAGAATTTATTATATATTTCTGTTTTATTCTATAAATTGTTAACACATTTTATGTGAAATTTTTATGCAAGCATATGCTGATAGAAAAGGTAAAAATTAATAATGATTATTCCATCAACGACATACATTATACCGCAAATATTAAAACCTTGTTTTTTGCATGATAGGAAAACCATACTTCAGGACATAGTGAAATATTCTGATTTTACGACAGATAAATTTCAAGAGATACATCGGCGAATGCAAAAAGCTGTTGATTCTGTAAAGCCTGTAGAAGAGTACAGGGATTTTATAGGGAAGCACAGGTATTCATTTCAGACTTATTTTTATCATTACAGTTTAATGTGAATAATATTAATAATTTGTTAATGTTCGATACAGAACGCGACCAGCGTCACCGATAAGATTTGTTTTCGATGAGAACCTTGTAGATGATACATCAGGAAAATTGTTGCCAAATAAATTAACAGTAGATAATTTGACTATAGATTGGTTAAGAAATAGGCTAACAGAATTGGAAACTTCTTTGAAAGCAACTCAACAGAGTCGACAAAACCCACCATATCCATCAGAGAACAATAGCGATTCTAAGTAAGAATATATTGTGTTCATAAATAATGTCTAAATGTTATTATATTACTAGTATTAAAATGGATTTATTTTACTCTTTTTCTATTTTTTTGTTGTACGTTAGAATATCAATTTTGGATTACTCCCGTGAAAGAGAAGAATTGCGATTACGTTGTCAAGAAAAGAGACTTCAGCGGCAAGTGGATGTTATTAGAGCTGCCTTAAATGAATTAGGTTGCGAAGAATTACCACTTGGATATGATCTTTCAATGGAAAGCTCTTTTGCTGATTCGCCTTCTATTAGTAAGGTATTTATAAGAACAATATCAATCAAGTCAAGTAGTAGATATTTCTATAAATATTATGGGTATTTCTTCCAAGAATGTTGAAAACTGTTCTACTGCAAAATAGTTTTTCAATACAAAACTATTTGTTTCTGGAGGATTAATAGATTTAGCTAGCATCACTGCCCTTGCAGAAAAATACAGTTGCAGATATTGGTCTGTTTACATTACGAAGAAATCAACGGTTCATGACAATATTTAGATCTCCCTTCAAATCGTTACCGATAATAAACGACACAAAAGATGGAACAATTAGATCGAGTAGCGAAGGTCCTACCTCAAAAGCAGATAATACTCTACCAGTTGTATGTTTTTTTCATATGTTATCCATTTGTTGTACGAATATAAACGTATTTCATGCGTAATCGCTTCTTTTTTATCTTTACAATGTTATACATATGTTTATACAGGAATATACATGTGTTATAAAACGTTTATAATTAAATTAGTAATATTTTGTGTGTGACTTTTAATATTAAGCATGTTTATCTTATTATGCAAATAAATTGCATTCGATTGTGATCCTAAACTAACATTTGCGATGCGTTTTAATGATAATAATTAAAATAGACAAGAGGAAGGATGATATCTCATGTTCTAGATGTGTCCTGTTTTACTTTTTAGATGGAATATGTTATGTGTATGTTATAGACATTCCGTGGGATATCGCATTTAACAAGTCAAAAGGGAAATGGAAGTGGTGATCTTATGGAGGAAGAGTGGTTTCATGGTGTGTTACCAAGAGAAGAAGTTGTGAGATTACTCGTAACTGAAGGAGATTTCTTAGTACGCGAAACAACACGAAATGATGAATGCCAAATAGTTTTATCTGTTTGCTGGGATGGACATAAACATTTCATTGTACAAACTACTCCTGAAGTAAGCAATCTGTTGCGTTTTTAATTACGTAATATAATTCACTTCATATAATTCAAAGGGCACAGAAACAAATTGTATGTATATTTATTAATTTTAGGGGCATTACAGATTCGAAGGTCCTACATTTCCATCGATTCAAGAATTAATCAGGCACCAATGGTTATCCGGATTGCCAGTGACTAGTCGATCTGGAGCTATTCTCAAAACACCAATTTTACGTGAACGTTGGGAACTCAATAACGACGATGTAATTCTCCTAGAAAAGATAGGACGGGTATATGATTGAAATTTAAAGAAAAAAGAAGTTACTTTAGTTTTTTAAACGACTCGAAATCTAATAAGTAATTGATAGCTAACTTTAAGTTGAATTAGTATGAATTTCACCTAATTTAGAAAACTTGTCATTTCAAAAAGTTTATATACATAGAATAAAAATAGATGTTCAATTGTAAAAGATTGTATATTTTTAGGGTAACTTTGGAGATGTATATAAAGCGCAGTTGAAAACTTGTAAGACTGAAGTGGCTGTAAAAACTTGCAAAGTAACGTTACCGGATGAACAAAAACGTAAATTCTTACAAGAAGGACGAATATTGAAGCAATACGATCATCCCAATATAGTAAAGCTTATAGGAATTTGTGTCCAAAAACAACCTATTATGATTGTTATGGAATTAGTACCTGGTATATTCAATAAATTAATCTATTTTGGAATTAAATATTTAGAATTAAATATTTTTCAAATTGTGGAGTACAATTGTTTGTTAATATCAAATTAATATGTATGATAGGTGGTTCCCTGTTAACTTATTTAAGAAAAAATGCTAATACTATTACGCAACAAGAACAACTTCGAATGTGTAAAGATGCAGCTGCAGGTATGCGCTATTTGGAATCTAAATATTGTATTCATAGGGACTTGGCTGCTCGAAACTGTCTCGTAGGTAAATGTGTGTGTATGTGAACATATTTTTAGTTATTATAAAAATTATTTACGCAAGACATATGAATTGTAAAAATACCAAGTATAATATATTTTATCTTTAGGATATGAATCTATAGTAAAAATATCAGATTTCGGAATGTCACGAGAAGAAGAAGAATATATAGTATCAGATGGTATGAAACAAATTCCAATTAAATGGACTGCGCCAGAGGCATTAAATTTTGGTAGTTGAAAAGATATTGTGTGTTAGATGTATATTTAGGATTCTAATACTATTTTTCACTGTAATATTTTCTATAGGTAAATATACGTCGCTTTGTGATGTGTGGAGTTATGGAATCTTAATGTGGGAGATATTTTCTAAAGGTGGAAATCCTTATAGTGGAATGTCTAATTCTCAAGCTCGCGAAAAGATAGATGCAGGTAATATTTGCGTCATAGTCCTTATTACACTTTCATTATTATGATTATTACTATTGAGTATTAACTATACTCATAAACATATACATAAAGTATTTTACATGTAGAACTTAAATAAAAATTTCTCTTTCCGTTCTTAGGTTATCGAATGCCAGCACCAGAAAATACACCCGATGAAATATATCGTTTAATGTTACGATGTTGGGAATATGAACCGGAGAAGCGTCCTCATTTCGATCAAATATATACTGTTGTTGAGACGCTTTCTCAAGCGTATTTATAA